TTTAATACACCGTCAGAGCAATAATAATAATAATAATAATAATAATAATATGTACGTCGACGTGCACACGGTGTGTCTATTAGTGTTATTAATATTATTGTGACTCGAGATAGCGCAAATACGTCGTGTTACCGAATTGTGTACTCGTTAACTCGCAATTTAAACAGCCACCTGCACCGTATCATTGCCCACACAGGCCATAACTTTTCGTTTCAATCTAGCGTTCAAACGGGTATCAAAATGTCCGCGGTGTGATCTAATGTGTTACCACTCGTATACAATGTGCGTACGTGTGTACCGTTGCGGATTTCACGAATTTCAACGCGACGGAAGCACTCGCAATACTATTCTAAATTTTTCATGACAAACGAGAAACCGAAAAAAACAAGTATAATGATCTATTGCGATTCCAAGTGAAGCGCAAGTCTCGCGACCATGTTTTTTCTTCTCGTTCGTATACTGTTGTCTGTTTTTTGACCATTTTGCACGTGTTGCCTCATATACTTTCATTTTTTTTTTTTAAAAAGCCGAATCACCTCCGAAATTGGGTCATCTTTATCGATATAGAATACGATAAGTTTGTGATTTTAAGTACGTTTTCTGTTATATGGAAAAAAAAATGTTACTCCTATGATTGGAAAGCGATCTATGTGTGCATTGATCAAATCATTGCCCGTGTCGATGAGCGAATTGTATCAAAACGTTTATCGTATATGAAATAGCGCACACAATATCATATCGTTCTGAAATCAAAATTAATTGTTGCGCGTAATATATTCAACGAGATCGTGATGAATTCACATCGTTCCGTGTAAAACGTGTGAACATCGTTTGATTACATTTTAAGTGTCTATAGTTGTAAATAAGATGGTATTTTTTTTCCTTACGAATTATTTAATTGTAATTAAACATTAAGTACGTGTTTAATTCCATTTTTCTAGATTTTACTACGACAAATTTTTTTTTTCAATAAATAATAATGTTCAGCGAGGAAACTGTTACTCATATCAAATATTAATATCGTTGTGTATATGATCTAACTTGAAAAAATGAATTATTACTGCAATAAGATTTCATACCAGTGGTAATAATAACAATAACAGAATACGAGTATTGATGATTTCTTTTGCGCTTACATCAACTTTTATTCCACACACGATGTAAAAAACTAGTCTCGTTCTGTACTTTTTTGTCGTAGAGTTAAGGTTAATATTATAATTCTGTCCAATATTATAAAACTGAAAGAGAATAACTTAACTAGCCTGTTTCTAATTTTCATATTGTGTTTTATGAAACATTATATGGATCGGAGATAAATAATCTAAATAATTTAAAACTGTATTTCTAGAATCCTTGTAATAACCTGTAAATCTTATCTGAAATCTCACATTGAATAGTTATGCGATACATATAACTCTGGATAAACGTAAATTGTAATGATTAAATGATTTGGTGTAATGACCGTTTGATTTGAACTTATGAACAATTATTATTATTAAGCGATTAAGAGAGAATTTATTGAAATATCGTTCGGATTATGCAGATGTCGGAATAATCCAGTCTGTAATTTCAAACTTTAATTAAATTAATAAGTTAAAAATTATGTATATATATGTATATATTTTTCTTGTTCACCATATAAACACTGCTGCAAATACCATAATATTCTGTAAACAACTTTTATACAGAATATGCTGTATTAATATGAAATCCGAACTTCGTTGTTATAACTTCAAACAATCGATCATTGGTTGTCTGGGATATAATGTTCCGTATTGCACTCCGAAAACTTGTTCCGAATATAATAGTTCTCCAGACGCTATTGTCATTTTTTTATCCGTACTCACCGACCGAAATACATTGAACTCGATCTCTGAAAGCGAATCGGTGAAATTTGGAATCCTCGTTATTGCCTATTATAATTTCGCGTGCGTGTATTATTTCGAGATCCGAGTTTGTTGGGCCATTGACTTTTTACCCGAAAACACGTACGATTGTTGCCAATTTTTCGACCCGAAAATCTTGTAAACGTCTTGGCATTATTTTTAGCACTCGAGCTATCGTCATTAACGATGGCTATATAAATTCTATTTTTTTTTCGATCTACACTCGTTCGTGGTTTTCGTTTTTCTACGTCTCGCGTTACGATACCACTCTGTTGTTTGGCAGTCCGATAATACGATTACGATACAATGGATTGTGATCATATAATACACGTGTATCGAGTTGACCTGACAATGATGATCGTCAACTGTAAATCCTAACGAGATTTTTAAGAATATTAATTACCCTTCAACGTGTCGAGAATTGGACGACATAAGTCATGTCCGTTACGATGACGCGTAACGTTTAACCGAGTTATTAACAGCAGTAATTGGAGAAGGAAAAAAAAGTAAACTTTTTTTTTCCTTCTAGTTCTGTCGATTGGATGCTATAATTGCCGTATTAATTGTTACCATATTTGTGTTTGTGTTTTTGTGTGATTTCCGTTTATGCGTCAAGAAATTCGTACGCGTTAAGCGTACACCGTATACGGGTATACCTAACTGGCTGCAGTAACCCTGAAACGTAATTTTCGGCGCTCGAAAATCGTTAAAACGTAAGATCTCGAGTTACGATCAAGTGGTTTTGTCGATTTTGTGCATATCGTACGCGTACGCTGCCAACCGTAAACATTAATAATGCACGTAGCCATAGAGTTTTTAACGAGACGCGCCCGGAAACGAGTTTTTACTCGTTACATTGCCTATCGTTCATTGAATGCTGTGGACACCATTTGCTTACAAAACAGGTTCGTACGCGGTATTGGTATATTCCCTTCCACCCGTTAAAAACAAATTAAACGGATTTACGGCTGTTCCGAGTGAAATCTAATCGCGCCAAATTGTTAATAAACGCTCACACAGTGGTTTAGAAGAAACGTAGTGATGTTTTCGCGGTCTTCTCGTCGGTCCATAATAATATGAATACTTAACGAATGTCGATAGATACACATCGTTGGTAATTGTAAAGTTGACCGTTTATCGACGCGTTATGCGTTTATGGTTTTATATTTTAAAACGAATAACATATCTATTTTAAATCGGTAAGGTTTCCCAAGGTTTCTCGGCGATTTGACTAATGTATGATTGTTTTATTTTTAATATATATATTTTTTTTTTCATACGGATAGTATACGAAAACGCGTTGTGAAATATAAATAACATTTTGTTTTTTTATTTTACGTTTTTCGTACACGCGTGAAATAATCACCTTCGGTAATTGGCGAGTTGCAAGAAAAACCATACTGGCGTGTGGACTAATAAATTATACAACTCTAATGGACTGTTTAATAGTATAGTATAGTACTATAATCGTTATCAATATTGCACGGAGTAATGATTATTAATATTGCGCGGTGATGAATGGTTTTATTTATAGGTGTTGGGAATCAATAAGATTACTCTCAATTACCCGAGGATAACGTAGGATTTATTGCTTGTTCGAACTAAAACCTATTGTACCTGCATTGGATGTATGACGAAAAAATGAATTGCAGTTCATGTTGCGTCATGTACGTACGAGACGATAACAAACATAACCACTTGTAATTATTTCACGATAATTAACGTTCAGGTCAACTCGTAACGATGACGATCGTCGGTCGTTGTTACCTGAACGAAAAACGATCGAAAACGACTAAACATTATTTTAATATTGAACGTCTTTGATACGCCACGCGAGAGTCGTGTACTTGGCATTCGGTAAACGCGCTAGTATTTAAACAGCGTCATTTGCAAAACGTATATTAAGCGCCCTTGACGATGTCCGGTTCAAGGTCTTTCCGCCATTTTTATTTCTTTTTTCTTCTTTCATTATGATTTTTATTTTCATTCTTCTAATTTTTTTTTTTTCTTAATTAGCCAATATTCTTCCTCAGCACGATTTTTAATTCGGTATCTTTTTTAAATTAGTGACACGCCGAAATTTTATTAGTGGCCATCAATTTGCGGCGGCGGCGTCTGGCGTGGGGGTCAACCAGCCGCCGAAAATCGTTTAAATTATGTATGCAGTTGAACGACCGGCGACACAAAATTACTCTAAATCTCTTAAGTCTACAGTCAAAATAAATTAAAAACAAATCGCAGTGTACGTAGGTAACGGAGTTATTTCTAAACTCGTTTTCGTTTGCTTTGTGTTTACGATTTCTGAAGCCATATGGCAAAAGCTAAGATAGGGCGTTAGTTAAATTTTGAACCATTTATGTATAATATTTATTCATATTTTAAAGCGTGGTTATGGGCATTGTTTTTATGGTTTTTTTTTTACGTATTTCGTATTATCTGCATTTTGTTTTTGTTTTAATAGTTGACACTTTTTTTTCTTTCAATCCATTATTCTCTCGAGTATCGCGTATGGTCAACTAGGTCCCCGGTTATGTCGTTTAGATACATTGAGACCAAAATATATTCTTTAGTTGTGCAAAATCCAAAATTGATTTTCTGAGTACATAGAACTCTACGTTGTTATCTACTAATTTCTAAAAAATTGTTAAAAAAATATATTTACCACTATGCATTTTTCGGTGAAATGTCATTGTTGTAGAGCTCAGTTACATAACCTTGTGCTATTAAATTTTTTCCCCAACTAGGTAGGACGTAGTACAAAGGGCTGATGTAAATACATTTATTTGGTTTTAAAATAAATTTAAAATATAATTGTATTATCACTATATCCTGTATAACACTATATCACACAATTTGGTTAGGCACACGTTCGGAGTTGTGCAAATGATAAGACCAGTTTAACGAACTCACAAACTGATAACCTTTGATAAAACGTGTCCACTGCTTTGCTTATTATAGAGTTATTTAAATTTTTTTATTACGCCTCTCATTTGCTCGACTCTACTCTTAAATAAACTATATCCGGCTGTTAAATTTGATTCGGCAGCGGTTAACGCGTTTATTCTAACATTGACATTGATCACACCCTTCTCCCATGTACGTCAACATGTATCAGAATGATTAACAAAAGTAAATAACTGTTGATTCGAATATCATTGTAATATCACTTATACGATGGATCGATGGATACTTGCAGCTTATAAAACACTTCATGTCTGATTATTTTTAATTTTTTTTTTTTTTTTTGCATATGGCGATTATTTTTAATGCACAGTCAGTATAAGACAGATGTTCTAAAATAAAGTTTAAAGTACCGTGTTGATTGTAATAATCTCATATACATGCTCATAGGCGAAGCTAGACACTTAAGTTAGACTAGGCCAAAAGTTCAATTCTCGAGATCATATTTTATTTTAAGAACAGTGATGGATATAGAGATGGTTGAATTGAAGGATATATTTTATAGGCAGTCATTTCTATGAATTTATACTGGTTTTTTTCTAGTTTAAAAGCTTTTTAGCTAAAGCACAAGTTAGGTACTTGTTATTTGTGTTTAGAAATGCGCATTTTAATAATTTGAATAGAATAATATTATTTTTATACAACTTCAATATAAATCAAAACTTTAGTATATTATAATAAAGGTTATTTGTTCTATTACATTTTTTAACATTTTCCAAAAAAAAAAAAAAGTATATATATATAATTTCATGGAAATAGATTTTGATCAGAATATTGAAAATTTTATAATTTATTCGTTAATATAACAGCAGCACAAATTTTATTATTTTTTAGTATTAAATATATTTCAGTTACTAAAGATGTCATCAAAATTATTCCAAATATAATCAATGGTGCAAAATACTGTAAAATATCAGGTTCTATACAATTATTAAAGCAATGTTCGCGTTTTTTTTTTATTTTTAAGATATTAAGTGCCTATTAAATTATACATATTCCTTATAAACCGTCGCCTTATCGGTGGTAGTACTTTTTCGGCTTCGTAGTCTCCTACGAACGCGGCTTTTGCGGTTTATCACTATTGGAAATCAAATATTTGTGTCCTATCAATATTTTCAAATAAAAACCGAATTAATATAAAGAATTTTTTTATTTTAATCGTTCAAGTTTTTTAATTTTTTTTACCGACACGAGCATATCATAGTTGTAAAAAATTGTCGTCGCAATGTCGTGGTAAATATGTAGTTACACCGAAAGAAGATTCTTACTCTGATCTATTTTTTGATATATTTAACGGTCCATTTATAAAAAAAAATGTCAATATCACTATCCACGTAATTTTCGCGTAAATTTTAACACGACAATCGGCTGAGCCATGCCCCAGTTGGCTCGGGCCCGTGGTTTCGGTATGTTTGTATGTGTATGCATGCGTGCGTGTAAATTCATATTATGATATATGTTATATATGTTCATGGCTTTGCACGGTTAGGTTTATGTTGTTACCGTGTGTAGTATGTACTCGTGTACTGTATACGCAAACCGCACGCGCTATTAAACTACGACTGTATACACAATATGCTCGTGTTGAACTGTCTTTTTGAAAAACAAAATTATTATACACACATTGTTTGGGCACACAAGGAGATGGCCGGGGGGGGGGGGCAGGATGTGTTTTGATGAAACGTCAAGGTCGAGACTAGACAACGTAGCTAGTGTTGTGGCAGGGTATGACTACGGTACCTTGTGTACACAATGCGCACAGATTTCCCCTTATCGCCCCCCCTTCACTTGGCCACAGTATCTGTGCACGGCATCGCGGTAGCACCACCACTCGCCCGATTGTTGACGCCCACCCGTGGTCGCCTTGGATACGCCCGATAAAGTTTTCCCCCCTATTTCCCGTCGCACCACTTAATCCGTTCGTCAGTTGTCGGCAAAATCCTACACTAGGTCATCATTCGTTATGTACGGCATTTATTAATATCATTTAACCAATGTACACTGCAGGCTAATATACGAGCGTATAGTATTTAAATTTTAAACTTTTATTTACAAAATGTATCAATGTACAATTGCGTTACAATGCGCATCAAAGCTGCAGTGCTCAATAACTACGAACGCATATAATAATAGGTTTGAAATAAACACGAACATAAAGACCGCTGTAAATCGATTACTAAATTAGTTTTAAGGCTAGTTCAGACCATGCCAATAATTTAGTCAAGTAGCGAATATTTTAGTAACTAATCGTGTATGAACAATTCGATTTAGTCAAGTAGTTTAGTAAAGTAATTTAGTTTAGTCAATATATTCTATTCTATTTTTTTGGTCGAGTAGCACAGCACCTCCCCTCTTTCTCGACTGATAACTATTATTCATTTTGACAATCACTTTTCACAGCACTAAAACGACTACTAATGTACTAAAACAGTTTTAACCTCTAGTTGTGTCTGAACACTTTTCAGTTACTAAACCGTTAAGTAATTAGTAAATCACTTACTACTCAATTAAATTACTGGCATAGTCTGAACGAGCCTTTACCGTCGCAATACGTTAACCGAGAGAAATATTAGACGGATTTCCCTGCACTTCGATCGTCGACGAAACCAGCGTGCTCCGTTTTAAACGAGTTACATACGTCCACTATCATCGGTAATCTTGATTTTTTAGATCGTGAATGGCGAATCCTCGTTACGCACATTTTTGTGAATAATATTGTAATATTTATTTCACTTGCGTATTGGTATTACACCACAGGCGTGTCATTTTTAACTGGAGCACTCTCGTGGCCTTGCAAATCGTTTCCATATTCCAGATGTAAGTGATGATCGGTACTTTGGACTACGATCGTGCTCTTAAAGGTATTCAATTCTTCTTTTAAAACCATTCGCTGTCGCATTACAACGTGTTTGAATAATTGTTACAAAGTTTATCATTGAACTTC